TACAACACTGATAGATACATCATGTGATGTAAATTTGTACACTCGAGACTGATACCCCACAACCACAAAAAGCTGAACTTCTCCAGCGTGAATGTAAGTTTAAGACTATCAAGTTCATTAAATGCTTGCAGTAGTCAGATGCCCTCCACAAAATAAAGTTTGCTGTATGTAACATCTAACCCAGAATTGTGCTAGCACCTTGTTTGTACTCAAAACATTTGTCATTGTATCAGTTAGAAGTATAACATACAAACTATCTGTCACTATGCCTCAAACCCTCGCTTGACCATTAATACTTAAAAGTATTTCTACAAATCTGTTTATAGATCTAATGTAGGTTGCATTTTCACTAGGAGACTACAGAAAACTAGTTACACGAACAAGTCTTTCAAGCATCAACAGGTCTTATGTCAGTGGTTAATGGAAGTGGGCAAAGATACTCCATGCTTAAATTTGCATATCAGAAAAATACAACAGTAGTCATAATTCTGATGCACAGACTAATAACTACTGAATTCTTAAATACAAGGTTTTTTTGCTCCTGTCCTTGGCAGTGTTCACAACTTCAAGATTTCCTTACAAAATTACTCAAGCTACTTACTTCGCAGAGCACCTTGTCTGAGCAAACACTTACATGCACAATCCACTCGACATCTGCTTACTACAAACTTTTCTTCATAAAGCAAAATCATTCTGATCTGTTACAGTTACTTTTCTTTCTCTCCTGACTCTGAAAATGATATATTGTCAAAGATTAAGTTAAGGTTAGTGAAAGACTGGCAATTCTTATTTCTATTTTAAACAGTAAGTCTAGCTAAATCGAATTAGGAAGACCTTTAAAGTAAATCCTAAATAAACCACCATAAAAGCAAAAATGAAAACAAAAATCCTTTATTTCACTAAACTACTGAAAATTTACACAGACAAGACCTCAGCCATTTAAGAACACTTTGAAATTAACCTGGCTAATCAAAATTAAGACACTAGTTTGCCATAGGCACTGTAGAAAACACAGCTTGCTAGAAATGAGCAGGACCAGCTGGAACAGACAGGTCCACTGGGAACAGAAAGGCATAAATGAAGACTGCTACAGAGACTTAACTGGAGAGAGGTTTGGGTCTGTTTTAAATAACCACACCACTATTTTAAGTACTTAACATTGAAAGCTGATGGCAATCTGTAGAGATCAAGAACCAGTAAGGCAGTTGTCATATTATCTCCCCCACAATCTCCATTTCTACAAAAATAGTTGCAATTCAATATTAATAAGGTATTGAGCTGAGTTTTCTGTACTCTGGATCAGATAGTCTTGTCTTAGAGAAGTTTCTAGGAACACTGAACTTTTCATTAAGTTATTCCAAGGACAGCATTGAGATGGAGCAGTTTAAGACACAGCCTTTCCGTTGGGGGAGAGCAGAGCCCAGTGCCGCTCGCCGTGAAGCGCAGCATCCGCCTTCCGAACCTGGCACATTCTCCAACTGGGAAATCCATGCTCCTAACTGGCACTGCTGGTCTCAGCTGCAGCTCTTCCTTCACAGGCAGGATGAGTTCTGAGCCACGTGCCTCCTCACACATCTACCCAGAACACCAAGTGAGAAAAGAGACCGTATACCTGCATACCTCAGCCCTCCTCCACCTCCCTGCACAGCCTCGTCACAGCTCTTTCCACAATGAAAGTCTATGGACAAATCAATCCCTCATTTTTCAGTTAAATCCTTCAAATTTTTAAATTAAACAAGTTGCAAGATGCTTATGTTAACAAAACTGGAAGAGCTATTCAGACTATTTTTGCCCTTTACATACAGGTTATTTCTTGAACACATAGCATCAAAAAGGAAAAAGATTCACAACATTCTCATTCCTGCATAGTGTTGAGAAGAATTTTAATTTTCTATGTTTTTGGTATCACAGAGAACTTGTTTGATACAAGCTACCTTATTACACAGGAAAAAAAAAATATCATCATTTACAGTGTTAAAGTACAGTAAATTGGGTGGTTTGCAATTTGTGAATGAGACATTTAGTATCACTAACACAAGCTTATACCAGGAGAGAAAAAAAATACCTATTAGTGTAATCTTCAAAATAATTAACACAGGATTTAGAGAGAACTATTTTGAATTCAATTTTTATAATTGAAAAAAATCTTTTTTTTTTAAAGACCTGAACCACCAGTTCAAGATAACTTGATGAGCATTAAAACAGTAACTATTTCCAAGTTAAATTCATTACCCAGGTGTCCGCAGACACTCATCCATCCCATTTTATGCACACAAAAGCATTAGCACCAACAAAGGCCAGGTTAAGCCTGGCTACATAGCATCTTTCTGCACCTGAAGCAAGCAGAGTTTGTACAAACTGCAGACAAATTTCATGCTTTACTGAGCCTACTGTAATTTTCATTTTTACTGAAAATGGACTAAAACCTCTTAAAAACCTGTACCTTCTGTAAGGTTCAGCCATATTCTGAGTAACACTAAGTGCTTAAAAATACTTTATTCTATAGCCAACTGCTTTAAGAAAACCATATTCTCCATCATTTTACTGTACATTTAAACATGCTAGGAGTTACTTTGCCTCACTGAGTAAGCCAGAAAGCAGCCACTATTCAACTGCAGGTATTAAAATAGCCTAGAACCCAATTTGTCTCTAGGCTTCTAGTGACAAATTAAATCTCAACATACCCCTATAAAGTGCAGAAATTCAAGATTCAGTGAATTCCTGTACTGTGCCTGAATAATGAATTAGGAAAGTTTCTCCATGATCCATTTTTACTGTGACACAGTACCTTGAAAGAAGTTGAGACATTTAAACCACACTGAAGTTATTACGATTTTAAAAACAAGTATAAGGCAACTGATGTATTTTAGTAGTTGCCCACAAATTCAGAAGGGAATTTTTGCACTACAGACCTACCTTTTTACAAAGGACTATTACAGTTTTGGAGCCAAGTTAAAATAAGACTCTACTGCCTGACAAGACAGGTCAGGTTCCATCATCTCAATACCCCTCTCAACAGTGAAGGTGGTGGGAAAGCATGAATACCTGATGACCTGGGCAGGGGAGACAAGACACAACATCAGCTAGAACTCTAAAATACTCAGTATACAGTAAGCTACAGAAACATTTCAAGGACATCTCTGAGCAGTCCATGTTACACATAGGAAAGTTAATAATGGGAATGACTTCTACAAAAAAGCACCTTATTTCACCGAGATCAATTAAAAATACTTACTGCTTTTTAATTTGTAGAACAGCACACATACAGCTTCTAAAGTGACCAGAACATTGACTAACCATCCTTTAGTTTAGGTGACAGACATTCTTCAGCCAAATGTTATCCAGAGAAATTATTTTACTTAGTGGTCCCTCATAACTTAGCTCTTTAAGATTGCAGACTTGCATTAAGGATGGTTATAATCCATGAACTGTAAAGTTAACCTAAGCAGGAAT